GAACACAGTAGAGTGGAAATGAAATATGCTGTCTTATTCATCCTGAATGAAGCGATTCGATGACCTGCTGTATGTAAATTGAACTAAAGGGGGAAGCTTAGCTGGAAGAATGCCAGAAGGTGGAATCTACCTGCTCCACTTTTACCCTAGAACAATTAAGCAGTTACACACTTGGGACACATTCTGGGTGAAAGATGACACACAGGAAGGGCCTGTGTGTTTGGCGAGGAGGGGGGGTCAGACGTAAATGGGTCAGATGTTTTTTTCAGAAAGAACATGACGTCTTAAGACCTACTTCCTTTTTTGAGAACATCAGCTGATGACGTTTCTGTCCAGCCACGGATATACAGTCTGGTAAAGATGGAATATTGGTTTCAATGAGTATCTGTATCGGTCTGCTATCGGCAGAAAATTCTGTATCGGATATCCGAGGGGAAATAAGAATCTGATCCAGCGTTTTATGAATCTAGCCTGAAACACCACCCTCACGTTATGTGGCGTTAGCTGTGTATTTCTTCCTGTGCGGTAGCACCAGGTTGAGCAGTTTCAGCATGATATCCTCCATTTACATTCTGAGCTCAAGTGAAGTGCTTCAATTTAAATGTAGCTCAATTTAAAGCGTGGTGGTAGAATAAAGTTATTAGTATTGGTATTGGATGATACTCTAGATTTATTAGATTTATAGATTTAGTGTCTGTGTGGGTTCTAGCTCTTACATCACTGTCTAAAGGACACATCAAAACTGCTGTCTTTTGAAATATTGTGAGTAATGTTTGATATTCATTTTTTTTTTATCTCAACCCTTGTGTGGTGTTCAGGTCTGTGGGGACCATTTTCAGTGTTTACCAAAAGAAAAAAAATGATGCGATTTATTATTATTTCAACCTCAGATTCTTGTCCTTTTCTCATTTTCTGTGAAGAACATATAAAATAACCCATTTTCAGTGTCTTCACTCTGTTCACCCCCCACACATTATATTACACATGTGGTGTTGAGTGAACCAGCGGGGAGTAAAAGTGTGGAGGTGCTGTGTCCTTCACTCTGTTCTCCTCCTACACGGCCTGCTGTTAGTGTGTCTGTGTGTGTGTGTGAGGGTGGACAACATGGACAGGCTGCTGACTGGCTACAGCTGCTAAAGGAGAACCCTACGCTGGCCACTTGTGGTGTTTTAATCATCTGGTATTTTTACATAAATTGTTATGGCTGTATTGATTTAAATAAACAATAATGCGGTGGGTCCAGCAGACCACTGAGTAATAAACACATCAACACCACACAAGGGTTAAAAATCAAGCATGAGAAAATATCTGCAAAGATTTTGTCAACATAAAACAGCTAATAAGTTTCCTAATACTTTGGATATATTTAGCTTCAACACTCATCAAAGTAGCTTCCCTGGTATGAAGAGCAAGTACTTAAATAATGATTTGTCAGTTTTCTTCTCCACACTTATTGTTAAACACACATATTGAAACTCTTGGCCTAAAAATTAGAGTGCTGATTGCTGACATCACAACAAGGGGATAAAACTGAGTGGTCAGTGTTGTTATTCCCAAGGACTGTCACAGATATTGGCACAAACATTTGCATGTGACATTCTCTTCTTCTGAATGAACTTGGTTAGTCTTTAATATATTATCACAAACCAACAAAGAAACATGGTCACTTCTGTTAAACTCGTTTTGAAAAGGTAGGTGTCCTCAAACTTCTGGCAGGCAGCGTATACTGTTGTTAACTGTAGCTGATTCTACTGTTGTGGCATATTATGTAAGTATATATTCCTCTTATCCAGCCGAAATGGTGTCAGCTGACCCCATTGTCCTCTGTTTTCAAAGCATGCCGGGAAAATCCTCTTATAAAAAGCCCCGCTGGGCACTTACAGAGTCTGTGGAGACGCTGAAGCGAGAACAGACTTTTCGGAGCTGCCGCACATACGTGTGGTAACATCCCTCATTCCTGCCATTATTCCACACATAGTTTCTATAAATATTTATTATTCTTGGCAGGGTGGCATGGCTGGCTGGATGCAGTTTAGGCTGTGTCACCAGGCAGCTGTGCACGGAGTGCTGAAGGGGGCAATTAACCTTCCCTCAGTCTTACACCGACAAGACTGCGCACAAATGGGCAACATTTCGGCTAAAAATCAACACCATTTTCACAATATTCCCACTTATTTCGATGCACTCGTTCAGCCAAGACCTGTGCGGTATCTGATGTTTGCTTTAGTTTTGCACTGGAGCCACTCTGCTAATATAGCTAACAAGTAGCTTAGTAACAAATATCCCAAAAACTAATAAATGTAAGTGATCAGACACACACACACACACACACACACACATTCTAAACCGCTTATCCCTTTGGGTCATGGGGGGTGCTGGAGCCCATCCCAGCAGTCATTGGGTGGAAGGCAGGAAACACCCTGGACAGGTCACCAGTCCATCGCATGGCAGGCAGACAGACAGATATATCGCTGCTGTTGGAACAAAACCTTGTATCTCCATTTTTGTAGTTTTTCAGTTTTTGGCGTAATTTGAAAATGCCTGTTGCCCTTTACATTGTGTGTAAATTACAGGATGAATGGACCAAAAGAAACAGCCCAAAATTACTTGGAAAAAACTTCTGGTTCTGTTGACTTACATTAAAAGTGAAGTATGTTTTTTCCTTTTCCTGTAAAGTTCCTATTTTGGAGATACGAGGTTTTCTTCCGACAACAGTGATATACATTCATACACACACTCACACCTAGGGGCAATTTAGCGTGTCCGTTTATCCTGACTGCGTGTCTTTGGACTGTGGTAGGAAACCCACGCAAACATGGGGAGAACATGCAAACTCCACACAGAAAAGACCCTGACCACCTGGCCAGGAATTGAACCCAGGCCCCTCCTTCACACAGAACACGAAAACTAAATGAAAACTATAATGTGCACTGTGAACACATTAAAACTAGTATTGGATTAAAAAAAAACTTTCGTTTTTGTGTTTTCAGTGCACGAAGGATCTAGCAGTGGTCTACTGTTGTGTTAATTTAGCATTGCTAAAACAATGTCGAAATACCTTTCCTGGAGATAAAAGTGTCCCTGATCACAATACTAAAAAAACAAAACTGAAACTGAAAAAACTTAAAAACTTTTGCCTACAAATAAAAACAAAGTTAAAAATGTTAGTGTGCCATTAAATCTAACTGAAACTGAAAACCAAGATAAGGAAACGAATCGCTGTTGTGTTTACCTCCAAAATGGTAACTTCACAGGAGAGGCAAAAAACACACTTTAATTTTTCCCAAGTCATTCTGGGTCATTTCTTTTGGTCCAATCATCATTAATTTTTTACACATAATGTAATGGGGCAACAGGCATCTTCGAAATATGTCAAAAACTGAAAAACAAAAATGGAGATACAAGGTTTTCTTCCACAGCAGCGAAATAAAAACACAAACTAATGAAAATAGCCCTCGTACAACTGCATGCCAAACTGTGTTGAGTTTTCAGATAATCTCAAACAGACTTGCTTATGTGCTTCTCTAGATGCGATAGATGATCTATGTAAAAATGGCAACCTCGTTCTTCAATTTCAGCCTCGTAGCTCCAGTACAAAAAAAAAGAAGCAAACTTCAGACACCAAACATGTCTCGGCAGATCGGGTACGTTTGGGCTAAGAGGAAAAATTGTGTAAATCTGATTGTTTGCTGCGCCATTCCTTTAAAGCTAATTACTGTTTGTAGACATTTATGAGACCTTTTATGACGGCCTGCATAACGTGAATACGTTTATGGTGGCGACAGTGCAGTGTGGTATGTCTGAGGAAGAGTCTGCTGTTCATAACTCAGACTGTGTGAAACCGTAGTTTTACAACGTGGAGACTTTCGTTCCTTTTTTTACAGGTTTAACCAAACCAACCAAAGAAAACAAACAGATAGTTAATGCAAAGAGGAATTCTTCTCTCACCACAGCTTGTGAAGAAACGCAACAGTTGCATCAGTCTTTCACATGGCATATATTTCAATTAGACATACATTCATATGCAGTATAGTCCTCTTCAGTGTATAAGTCTTTTACAGAGCTATGTTTTTTTTAGAAGCATACTGGATAGCATGGTTGTATTATAGAAAACTTGGAATTATGGTAGTCGTACATAGTTGTCATAAATAATTCGGTCGCTGTGCCTCACGTTAATGGAACAGGGAATGCTCTGGGCTTTCGTTTATTTGTAGTATGTGCGTCTGGAGATGAAAAGTGCTGGAGCCACCGTGCACAGTATCCATGGTCCAACCACGTCGACCTGCGAGTAAACAATCTGTTTATCGTATTTCGGATGCATGGCTGCAGATCTGTGACGAAGGCATGCTTACCATGATATTCTAACCAATCAGATTTAACACACTCTTCCGCAGGCGGTACGTTTGTAGTCTTTCTGTGTTTTTAGAGTTGGTTTGCTTCCCTATGGAAGAGGAGGAGCTCCTCGATATCTCAATATATATATATATTTTTATATATATTTATATAAAAGACCAATGCTGTACATCGTTTGTATTTGTGAGTGATTTTTGAAGCAGCATCATGGCCACATACAAATGGCCACATACATATCTAAAATGCTACTGTTCGTTTTTTGACGAGAGGGAAAAAAAACAATAATGTACACCTGGACTGCATCTCCATGTAATGTTCCTCATACTAGTCAGTTAAAGATATCCCTTGATGTCCGTCACTCCAGATGAGATCCTAAAGCAGCATCAGCAATGGGAGGGGGTCGTACTTTACCCCCCCAGTTCCACTTAACAACTCGTCTCCCTCAAAACCCCACCATTCTCAATAGTCCATCGGCCTTCTGCTACCCCGTACCACTCCCCTCGGAGCAAGTCACATTAATAATTCACACTCTCTGATTCCAATAAGTTAAAAAATACAAAAATAAGAGAGCAACCACAATTAAAAAAAAACAAAAAAAACAAAAGAAAAGAGACAGAGAGAAAAATACTCTCAAGTGGGACTCGAAATAAAAAACAACTCTATATTTGCCCCTAGACTCGTACGTCCCATGTATGACATGTTCTTTTAACAATGTATGAAGTGATCGGGAATGTCTGTCTTCCCCTGTTCTTTCTCGCATTCATCTTGTTTCCCAGGGTGGTTTAAGGAGGTGGTAGGGAAAGAGGGAGTCGTTCTGAGAAAAGCTCTGCAGGGGAGGAGTTGAAGGAGGGTGGAAGTGGATCACCGGCACGTGTGCATTTCAACCATCTTGCGGCATTGTTTGCACTTGACGTAACAGCACCAGTGAAATTTGCAGCTGCACCTGTCCACCACCTCCACCTCCTCCGTGTTAAACCCCCGGCCGCAGCACATCAGCTCGCAGCCGTCGATGGCCTTTGAAGTTTTGTTGCAGTAGCGGCCTACGGTTCCCAGCATGCCCGGTGTCCGGGGGTCGTGGTCGCAGAAGTCCGGGCTGGGGTCCAGGTAGACCAGGTCCTCGTCCGTGTGCGGCTTGAACTGCGAGTTCCGCGGCACCAACACTTTCGTGGTGCCTATTTTGCGCTGTTCTACCTCCGTGGCGCCATCGAATTTCTCCTTAATGACGTTGCCTACTTTGCGGAACGGTGGCATGGCCTTCCAGCAGGTCTTCACCTCGCAGGAGCCGGAAACCCCGTGGCATTTACACTCCACTCGCATGTTGTTCAGAATCGCCTGGGAATAGAGGATATGGGTGTAAGTCTTTAGGATTCAATAGGAAATTATTTTACTTAGTTAACATATCAAAACGCATCATGTGGTGATTCAACTGCATAAATTTTACATTTGACAATGGGCTAAACATTTTATTTGGCTTAAAGAATGAGTGCATACTTTACTGAGTATTATTTTAAGGGATGCCCAATAATAACAGTATCATATCAGCACTGGACTGATGTCTAGAGTAATATCAGACTATTACCTGATGATACATTTACTGTAAAAGCAGCAAATTTACACAGCACTGCACTCTCAGATAAAAGGTATGAAACAGTCACTGGGGCAGTGCCCCTCTTGTCACTGGGGTACATCTCAGTACCTTTAGTCAGGGAACCTAACTTTACCATAATCCATTGAAATGATATGTTCTAAGCTGTACTGACTCCACACACCCCGTCTCGTCTCCAGGCTTTTATTTTACTGTTCTGTTTTAAAACATTAAGGAAAAGGTACAAATACGAACTTTTCACCTGGAAAAACTTATTTAAAGTTCACAGTTGGACCTTAAATCCACTGCTGTACCTTTGAGGGAATATCTACATTGTTTGTACCTTGATAAACAAAAAATTTACCTGCACAGAACCTTTTTCTGACAGTGTGGGATACCAGGCTAAAATAACTGCGTTTGTAACATTCTACACATACAGTAGCCCCAAAAAAGTATCTGGACATGTTATACGAAAAACATGATCCCATCAATAAACCAGTGGCAGATCTAGAAAATATTATCAGGGGTCAAGGGTGTTGTTCTGCAAATCGCAGAGAGTGAAACCACTCTCCCCTTAAACGCAGTTCAGATTCCGGGGAGACACTCCTTTAAAACCATTAAGGAGACCACTTCTCAACTTTAATGTTTCCACCTCTATGCTTTAAAGTACCCATAGTGCAGTCTGGTTGGAACACTTCTCCAGGCTTTCTCTACACAAAGAGTCTATCATCAGTTTGATGTTGTGTTAATAGTGTTTTTCTCTGAAAAAAAATGTTGTGTTAAACATTTTATGAAGTAACCTAAAGAAAAATAAAAAAAAATATCTCTAACATCTCTGTAGTTTCTCCTAGACAACAATGAGATTGGATGAAAAGACAATGGAGAAAAGTCTCTCCTGCTGCTCAGGTCTTTCTCTTGAGAAAAAGACCCCAGTAATCATACAGGGTGATTCAAAAAGATTCATCCGATTTCAAAGTGCCATATTTTTACAGCTGTGAGGCTCCTAGGAACCAATCACAATCCAATTGAAAGAGGGGGTTATAGAGTTTCTGACTGTCAGTGGAAGATGGCTCCCTTCAGTCTGAGAGGAGATGGAGACCCCTGAGCAGAAATCGTTTTGCTTTCTCCATTTCAATAACAGTGATTCCGTCATAACTGTGCAGCGTGATTGTCGTCGGCAGTGAACCTCAAACAGCTCAGAGCGTTCGTTGTTGGTTCCACAACACAGGATGATCTCCGAAATCGCACTGAAAGAGCCGTGAGTGCAGCAACACCCGACAAGCTCAATCCAGTATGGGATGAATTTGACTATGGTGTTGATGTTGTCTGTACAGCTGGAGGAGGTTCATACTGAGCACATGTAAAATTACATAATAAACTTTATGCTCATTTAAACCATTTACAGTTCACTGCATTGATCTGTAATGATTTGAAATAAATCAGTTTGAAATCGATGAATCTTTTTGAATCACCCTGTAAGTGTCTCCTGTTCGGTTTTAGTAGAGATCTCAATGTTGGCAAGATAATATCACTCATCTTTATCTGCAACTAAACTCCCATCTCTCCTTTATTTCATGTCACTTTTACGTCTAATGCTGTTTGTCCTAAGGAATTTTAGGAGAATCACCTTTAAGTCTCCAGAGCCAGTAAAGAGCAACATCTACAAGCTTCTCTTCTGGGACTTCTGGGAAAGTTTACCATTAGTTAAAGAGTCCAAATACTTTTTGGGGCAACTGTAAATGCACTCTCTGAAGAGCTAATTCAAGTGATGTTTATATATCTACATTGACAGAAAGGTACAGGGACAGAAGGAAAATAATAGATAATGGCATCGGTCCAGAATTTCCATATCAATGCGTGCTTAATCGTTATCATTAATTCTGATGATTTTTAATTCCAAATAGATGCAGATGAATCTGCACATTCTGATCAATGCATTTTTACACTAGTAGTGAAACATTTTTAGCCTGGTAGTTTTGGAAATTCGAATGCCTTACTAATGATCTTGGAATGACGTCCAATTAGCACTCCCTGGCTCTTACCTTCCTCCCTGCCTCGTTATTATGGAGATTCATAAGGGCCCTGTTGGACGACTGGCCTTTGCTTCTCTCCCTGACGTCCACAAATGACTGGGAGAAGGCAACTCCGTAGGCAATGTTGTCAGAGCACCCTGACCACTGGAAGCCTGAAGTGATAGAGGGAGATTCAAACAGTGGAATACCTTAGATGACAAAACAACTTTGCAAGAGTTCGTTCATTTATATTTATGGCAAATGCCTTCATGGTTTATGACCGTGGCTGTGTAGCTGACATTCTATCCTCCATTAAAACTGTTATTTTGTTATCGTACCCTCTGGACTAACGCCGTGTACGTTGCGGTCACAGCCGCACTTCTCCAGCTCCCCGCTGCTACAGGCCCTGGTCACTGCGAAGGCCACGCTTGCAGCAGAGATTGCGTACACAAAAGCAGCCTCCCTGGTGCCTGTCACAAAAACAATAAGTAAAATAAAGACCATATTTTTCACAGAATGCAACCAAAAACAGGAGCAAAGTCAGTTTTAACTGTTCAAGTGTGAAAATTCAAGGTTAACTGGTTAATAATGTTATTTTGTTCCTATTAGTTTTCATATAATTATGACTTCATTAATGAAGTAGACTCTGCTTTCCACTACATACAGCTTCCATTGTTATTTTAATAGTATACACTGATCAGGCATAACATTATGACCACCTCCCTGTTTCTACACTCATTGTCCATTTTATCAGCTCCACTTACTATATAGGCGCACTTTGTAGTTCTACAGTTACAGACTGTAGTCCATCTGTTTCTCTGCATACTTTGTTAGCCCCCTTTTACCCCTTTTTGGTGGTGTGTTCGTGTGTGTTGCGCTGGTCTGAGTGGATCGGACACAGCAGTGCTGCTGGAGTTTTTAAACACCTCAGTGTCACTGCTGGACTGAGAATAGTCCACCAACCAAAAATATCCAGCCAACAGCGTCCTGTGACCACTGATGAAGGACTAGAGGATGACCAACACAAACTGTGCAGCAGCAGATGAGCTATCATCTCTGACTTTACATCTACAAGGTGGACTGACAAGGTAGGAGTGTCTAATAGAGTGGACAGTGAGTGGACACAGTGTTTAAAAACTCCAGCAGCACTGCTGTGTCTGATCCACTCATACCAGCGCAACACACACTAACACACCACCACCACGTCAGTGTTACTGCAGTGCTGAGAATGATCCACCACCCAAATAGTACCTGCTCTGTGAGGGTCCATGGGGGTCCTGCCCACTGAAGAACAGGGTAAAAGGGGGCTAACAAAGTATGCAGAGAAACAGATGGACTACAGTCTGTAACTGTAGAACTACAAAGTGCACCTATATAGTAAGTGGAGCTGATAAAATGGACAATGAGTGTAGAAACAAGGAGGTGGTCATAATGTTATGCCTGATCGGTGTATGTTTACACACAGTATGGTAAATGATGAGAATGCTGAGTATGTGTATTAAGAACAACCCAAAACCAAAACTGAACCTAATCCCAGGTAAAGACCAAAGTCCTGTTTGACCAGTCTCTTGCCCATGCATCAGGACTCACCTTGCGTGACCACCTTGCCAAAGACAGGGACGGTCTCCAGTGTGGAACAGTTCCAGCGCCGGTTCCGGAACTGGTACTGGCACTCGTCGATGGCTAACTGGGCCCCCCTACGTACCGCGTCCATCACCTCCACGTTGCGTTTGCATATCTGCACTTGCCTCTGGATCAGCCCACGCAGTTTCTCGCACGTCTCTTCGTCTGATATACTACCCACAGACGACAGCTTAGCCAGGTACCTAAGAGACAGAAAGAGAGGGAGAAAAGCAGGTAGGTTAATTACACATGGACAGGCAAATATTGAGGGTTGCTTACAGTACGGTGCATTAGTCCATCCATTTCCATGTAAACAGCCATTACGTAGAAATTATTTGTTTTTCAGCATTTCAGCACAATTTTTTAACAAAAAATGACAGAAGCCTCAACAACTGAATATAATATCAAATGTTCTGCTCTCTTTGCCTTCAGTACAGCTTCCATTCTTTTTCAGGACATTGCTTTGAAAGAAATCTGCAGGGATATTTCTTCACACCTCCACAGTTCAGTCTTAGAAGTTGGTTGCATTTCTGCTTCTCACAGTTCCAAACACATTCAGTGAACTTGAGGTCTGGACTCTGAGAACACAAGCAGCTTCTTTGTTTGATCTGCAATCGTCTTTTCTCTATTTTCTTTTCTTAGTGAAGGTTTCTTGACAGCTACACATCCTTTCGGACCCATAGTGTTGAGTTCACAGTGAAAGGATGGATCTTTCATCTGATGGTGAGAGTTTTGGTGGTCTATCAAAACCTCTATATACCTTTTAAAAAATAATTTCACTTCAATTTAGGAAACTCCTGTTTTCACTTATTTTCCATTGAATTAAGTATTATGTGGATCTTATATTTCCTCAGAAATATCTCCTGAAAAATGAATAACTTGTACTTAATGGCCATTTTGACTGGAAAAAAAGAAAATCAGCATATACAAAAAATCATGCATATACTAAAAATTACATGACGGTGCATAAAGTCTTGGTTTGCTTAAAAGAATACGTTTCTGCCATTGTTTGACAGTCAGAAATGAAAATATCAGACGTGCAGACTCTAACCTAATTAAATTACAATGAAAAATAAATGTACAATTAAACAATAATAACTGCAGACTTTTAAGAGTTAAAAGCCTTTTAACAATGTTCCCAGCACCATAAACTACAGAGAATCTTTTGTCCGATGTTGGATGTAAGGAGGCACCTTAAATCCTTCAGAATGACTCCACAAACTCTGAGGACTTGGAGGAAGAAAGTTGAGACACATGGTGTGGTAAATAATTCAAAACTGACCAAACAGAGCACTTGATCAACTTAAGCATCATTCCACGAGTTCAGCGACCCTTCGTAGCTATCTGTTTGTTTAACCATCTGGTAAGCACAAACAGCGTAAACATAAACAGTGAGGAATTGCTAGGATCTTCTTGGAAGTCTTGGCTCTACAGATGAGGTCAGGAGGACGCTGAGGGGGCGGCTGAAGATTATCTTTCGCTCTCACCTCCAGGGCAGAGGGGTCAGGGAGACATGTGAGAGAAAGAGAGTCCGCTGAGCGCGCTCCGGTCCAGCTCTCCTTTAACGGCACCTTATAAAAATAGGCCGTTTCACGAGCTCGTCAAAAACACACTTAGGGGTTCCCGTCCAAACAACCGTCTCGCTCTGGAAACCTTAATGGGAGCGAGTGGAGATGTCTGGGTAAAACAAATCGTTTGAGAGGGGTCCGTAAACGAGACCTAACACAGATAAGAGCGTTGCTGCTTAATGGCTGGACTCTGGAGTGGAGTGAATGTAGGCGCAGTTATAAAGCGCATGTGGCAGCTGTCTGCGGTGTGTCAGTCGCCATTTCCCTCTAATTGTCTCTGTTTAACTACACAGCATAATGTTGATTAAAGAACTGGTTGTAGATGATTTTTTTCCCCTTTACCCCAAATGGACTCAATCAGCCAAGACATGTTTGGTGTCCAAAGTTTGCCTCTCTAGCTTTGCACCGGAGCCAAGAGGCTAATGTAGCTAATAAGTATTTACCCAACCAATTAGCACTGTGCAAACTGCATGTCTAAATCTCAACACACTTGTCTTAAACTGCATCAAGTTAGGAAATATCAGAGAGACTTGCTTATGTTGTTTCTGGCTCTGTATGACACACTGTTATCTATAAAAATGGCTGAAAACAACCTGGACGGCGATTTTTGTCCATACTTTTGTCCATTTGTACAGATACAGCATGGCTTTTTTTAAAATTGTGTAAATTCGATTCTTTTGCCAAACTATCTCCTTGATAGTTATCCTCTTATTCGGATAACCATGTGGAGAATAACTGGTAAACGGCTAAACCAGGTTGTACATTTCTGACAAAAGTAATAGCAGCACAGTCCAGTAAAAGTTGTAGTTGTAGTTTATGATCTTTAATTAGGCTACAAAAGTGTCCTTATATCCTATTAGAAAGTACGAAATTGTCGCGAAACATTTACAATATTGCAACATGACTCTGAGTGAGTTTATATGCGCTTAATAATCCGATAACTGCAGAAAATCAGATTTTGTCAGTAATCCAGTCAACACATTTATATGCACTTGAGTAATCAGATAATGGGAATCTCTGAGTCTACATGAGTCAGACAGTAATCAGATTTCTGCTTTGCAACCAGCCAATAAACTCACAGAAAAAGACGTGACGTAAACATAACGTGAACCCAAACTTAATGCCTCGGCTTATTTTTAAACATCGCGCCATTTTACCTGAAAAATATAAACATACATCATCTAGAAGATGAAGAATATTTAAATCTCTTATTTCATGTTTGGTTTCAGCGCGGCCACGCTGCTCACTTATTTCCGGTACCGCCGTCTGTTCTCGCGCATGCGCAGACTGACAAATCCGAAAGAAATCAGAGTAAGAGTTCACATGCACTGAGAAATCTGATTACTGTTTATCGGATTTCTAGATCGGTGTTTACACGACCATTTGAATAACGGGATAACTGCAGAAATCCGATTATACATACATACATACATCATCTAAACCGCTTATCCTTCTGGGTCGCGGTGGGGTGCTGGAGCCTATCCCAGCTGTCATTGGGCGGAAGGCAGGATACACCCTGGACAGGTCGCCAGTCCATCGCAGGAAATCCGATTATGTTTGGATTATTGAATACATGTAAACGTGCTTACTGTTTTTCCACAAAGCCGATTTGTCTGATGTCTGATAGCTGATGCTGTGGTCTAAGCTCAACTGTGTTTCTAGAACAACCTCATCTATATCAGATACAATTACATGTTATTAGGGTAAAATACCGTATTACCCAACATATTTAAAGGTTCAGTTGTAGTCACGTGTGGGAAAACTGGTATCTTGCTACGGTTTACATAAAAATAAATCAATGAATGGACAACATTTTTAAATCATCACTGGGGGCTGTTACTGCAGTAATTCGATTTACCATCACTGGCCTGTATGGTTCTTTGTTCTATATTGTTCCTGTGCTGATGTTCTAGATTCATTTGTCATACAGAGTCTCAAACTTTTCCTACTTTCCTAAAAGAGCTTGTGGTAGGGCATGTCATATCATAGCCCTCTCTGCTGTTGACAAGGCCTGATTTTGTGGGCCAGGGATGGGGCAGATAGCACACACAGACCCTCCTCATCCCTGAGACACTCATCTCAGCACTCAGCCACCCCGATAACCTCTTCCTCACCATCCTCTTCCGCAGACTCTATCTCAGCCAGACAAGCAGCATGACATGACTCACCAGACTAGGCCCAAGTGCTGCCTTTCATACGGCCCCTTTGGCTTGTTTATTAATATTCTGACACTGATTATCAAGGTCGGTTAAACAGCAATTAAACTTTTTTTACAGTATGTGTGGTCTCATGACGGGGGGCATGTGTGGTGTGCATTGGGCAGAGCTCTTCGAAAGTGTACACAGGTTTCCTCTCACCCAAGTTAGCATTGCACATTTGCCTCCATCTTGAAGCTTGACCTTTGTCCGTCTTTATAAATAACACTATGGCTTGGATATCTGACTGTATTTGATGTGAGGGGCAAGTTGGGTTATGTTTGATTTTTCACCCAGCTGTTCCTTTAAGAGCTTTTGTAGATTATAATAGCAAGAGATTCCCACAAATTCATATCATCCACACTGGTCTTCATCCACCCTTCGCACATGTGATCATAATGATCACAGACAACTGGCCTGCTCCACAAAATCAAAGCCGGACGAGAGCCGAAAATATCCGAACCAGCTGCTCGTGTGATGCTGGAGCTCATAACAAGTCTGACTCTCCCAGGAACAAAACACCTGATAAACTACGCTGAAAGAGATTCCGCCTTCAGTGTTGAAACCTTTTTCACGTGGGAATAAACCGGCCCAGTCCTTGGGGAGGAACGTGGGTGATCTTGTTTGTGGTGCTTCACGTTTTATCTCTCGCTCTCTGGTCCTCCTCGTCTTTTTCAGCTTTGTTTTTCTACTCGTTCCACACCTTCCGCCCGCTAGGGTTAACCAAACGGCGAGAGGGCACTGTGGGATTTTTTGATGCCTGCAGAGCTGAGGGGAGCGGGCCTCCCCTGTTGCTTTCTGGGAGGGTTTTTTTCGGAGCGTCCCACCTGGAGACGGGCCGCAACACTCCTTCTGTAACGTGTTTGTGTTGAATTATGCAGCTCTGGCCTCCAAGCGCCAGCGGCTCCACATGGCTTAGGCCAGTGCGGCTTAGCACGCAACCATCCCGTACAGAAGGGTCGAAGGGGGCAAGAGAGGAAAACTGAAGGGAGGAGAAAGGGAGGATCACTCGGACAGATGCCAGACTCTGTTTCTCTACACGAAACCAGCTCAGTTTTGTCTCTCTTGGTTGCTGGGCACAGTATTGGCATCAGTTCTGGGGAAATGAAGCCAGACTGTAGACCTCTTCTGCGACATTTTAGCAAAACGTCACGAAACGCACATCAGAACTGGCTCTAAGAGCCAGATTAGTGTTATTTAGAAAGCTGCTAATCATCAAGTCACTAATCTAGATTTTGGGACAAGCAGGCTTATTGGCTGACTGATGCTGATGAGAGAACTTATGTACCAAAGTAGCTATTATTGACAGGTTTTTGATACTGACTTGTTTCAAAGCAATTCTGTTCTCAACTTTTGACCAATTTCGACATCCAGCCCTGATGCTGACGGTTCTAATGCTGAGAGATACTGCAGCAAAGCTAACCCCAGTCATTAGGCTAG